TATATCACTTCCTCCGTCATATGTTTATCTCAAGTTATCCGAGTTAGCTAATTGTGAGAACGTGATCTCCTTAGGACGGGAAATGGCCAGAGGGATCTTATTTTGCCGAGCAACTGCCAGCGCTCTTATACATGACCCAAGCATTCGGCTACTGCAGATTTCATGGCAATCTAAAACTTCGAATATGGTCGATACGAACTTTTGCCCATATAACCTAACTGGTATTTTCTGGTGCTTCAATGTGAAATAAAGAAGAAAAAGTATACTAATTCCCAATGCGCGCCGAAATTAAAAGAAAACTGCAGCCTCCAGACATGTGGGAGGTGTCTAGGGTTCCGTTACATACGGGGAAAATCTGAAAACATTGAAACAGTTTTGACAGAAAAATGCAAATATTTGATTGTTTTCCCGCTTATTCTCATACTGCGTTTACCGTCTGAATTCTCACAGTCGTGGTCAATTTGTTACTGCTTCCTCCCATTTGCAAACGTGCATGATATCAGAGTATTCTGACAACTGACACGAGCATCTTTTTCATTTTATTTTTTTAAATTAAAAAAAAAAAGTTTGCGTCTAGATTGACGCAACGCATCTCCAAGTCCCTTGGGGGAGAGGGGCGTTGAGCGCTTTGCACTTGGGAGTAATCCTCCATGAACAATATCTGTCATGTCACGTCTCGTCGCAGTCAGTAGTCAAGAGGACCGCCATGTAGCATCTCGTACGCGCCCCTTCACATGCGCTCCTGTGTTACCAACCAGCGGCCAGAACTGGGAATGAAGTAGGATAGAGTAGGGTTTAGGACACGTTCACAAGGGTCGGACAAGCCCCTATGAAGCAGTCGAACTCGTTTTGTTGGAACTCTTGTGCACCTTGAAAATGTCTAAGATTATTAGTGATGAAAAGTTGTGAGTTAAGCCACCAAAATGCATACTTGCGAAAAATCACGAGGTTCCTAGATAGGAAACTCCTAACAAACAACGAATTTCCAATACTAAAGGCAAAAAGAAACACTCGAAAATTTTTAGGCCTCACTAGTTATTACCAGAAATTCTTATGTGGGCAGTTATTACATCTCTGTTTTGTTATTACATCTCTGTTTTGTTATTACATCTCTGTTCTGTTATTACATCTCTGTTCTGTTATTACATCTCTGTTCTGTTATTACATCTCTGTTTTGTTATTACATCTCTGTTTTGTTATTACATCTCTGAATTGTGTAGCACCTGAAAGGGTGTTTCAAATATTAAAGACTGCTTCGATGCCTGTCAGCCTTATTTTTTTCTCAACAGTTATTTTACAAGTAGATGCTCCGGAAAAAGGTATCAGTGTAATTTTGATTCAAGGGAATGAAAAAGGGGCGGTACATCCAGTTCTGTCATTGGATAAAAAATTGAACACAGCTGAAATTAATTATGGTACTACTAAAGGAGTATTCAAACCCTAAATGGGTCATACGCAAATTGCGTGGATATTTATATGGTTACTATAAACTTATTATCGACACATCACTATTGGATAAGGCCTAAAAAACATTAGAAAACGACCTCCTTTAATAAGATGGTATTTAACTCTCCACGTTTAGAACAATCAACTCAGCCACAAAGTCGTGGTGCAACAACAGGATATGCTTTCTCGCATTTCTAATTTTTGCAAATTTCAAACGTTCAGTGTAGTCAACGAAAATTAGATTTGTGCATATTTTTTTAAAAATATTCCTTTGTTCTATTAGTGGGACAAAAATAAAGGAAAAAAAAATTATAATCGAGCAGTTTTTGAGATTTTTCCAAAAAATTACACTATCTTCAAATATATATTATGGAAAAACTAGTTAAAAAAAAAAAAAAAAAACGCACATGACTTACCTTGATAATTTATTATTTGGAACAATTTTACTCAAGACTCAAACTTCTATGATCAATATTGTACTTTTGCAATATTATTTGTTTGTATTTTTTGAAAATACAAATGACTTTGCCGAACCTTTTTACCTTTCTTTGCAACATTTGAGGACAAACCACAAAGAAAAGATTTTGAGTGGTCTTTGAGAAAACAATTCTTCAAAAGTGCCTATATTTCACGCAAAATTACACACACATAAACTATCCATATTTTCGAAAAAATGTACGTGAGCATGTTACAAGATCTATTTTTGAACATATATCATTAAGAATAAAATCCGTCTTCAATATTTTAGATGTAGGAAGACAGCAAATGGTTTCAATTTTCGAAAATTCAGAGTTCATTGAAATTGAGACCTACGCTATTCTTTGAAGTGCCTTCTGTTTTATACGTTAAAAAAATGAAACGGTTTTGGAGAAAATACTATTTTATAATTTGTATCAATTTCAAGCAAATATTAGGGGAAAACTACTCGTTTAAAAAATTGTACATGACCTTTTATAAAAGATTCAATTTTTAAAACTAATGTCATTTATGACAAACTAGTGATGTTCCATCAGCACGTGCGTTCTCGCGATTTTATAAATGGTTATGTAATATTGTAGTATGAACATTTTTGTCTGACACTTCAACTACCATTTGAAAAATTCTTAAAGAAACGAAGTGCGTAAATACATTTTTTTTAAAAATTCAAATGTTTAAATGAAAACAATTTCTTCGTGATGCGTATTTTAGCTGTACATAAAATTATTAGTTTATATTAATGTGAACCAACGGCTCTCGTCATAATAGCTTTTTGATATCAGTGCAATTTAAAATAAAGTTAATGATTATTAATATTAGAAGTAATGTTCTCTTTCAAGATTCGAATGACTGTCTCCAAGCCTTTTTCACCTTTCCTTTTGCCAAGTTACACTTTTGCAATTTTCGAAAATTCAGAGCTCAACGAAAATAAGGCTAGGACAATTTTTGCAATCCTTTGATATATACGAGGAGAAAATTTAAAGAAAAAATTTAGAGGCATTTTTGAAGAAAAAAGTCTATATTTCAGGGACAAATCAAATCGAAAACTACTAATATTTTCAAAAAAATTATTTATGATCATAATTCAAGATCCGATCTTTAAAGAACTGATTTTACTAAGGAAAGAAATCTATTTTCAATATTGTAGTTGTACAAAGATGAAAAAAAAAAAAAAAAAGAAGATATTTTTCAATTTTCAAAATATCAAGGATTTCAACGCAGATGACACCTGCACTAGTCTCTTACGATCCTTTAACTATCCGAGGATGAAGTTTAATCAAACAATTTGAAGCCTTTTTGAGAAAATTTTGAAAATCAAAATATTTGTTTCAAACTCAGAGGGTCTCGAGTTTCTTTAAATTGGTAGACGAATATCAATTTTGGAGAAAGTGGGCTGAACGATTTTGGAGCTAATTTTGATCACAAACATATGTTTTGACGTCAATCGATTTTTCGGTATCAAGGACCAACACAACATGGATTCAACCTACACAATGTGTTAGAGGAATTTTCATATTCAGGAACATGATTTATCTGTTTCGTTACCATAGCCCATAATTAGAGTTTTTTCTGTTTTAAAATTCTCCATTTTCTGGCGCACGATTACAATACTCTTCTTACGAAGTAAGTAAATAGTGAATTTTAGCAGTTATTTTCGAAATTACAGTAAAACTTGCTCAATATGGAATCTCAAGAAACGCGTGTTTTCTTGCGTATTAGACCAGTTTCCGCGTTATGCAATGTAACACTGTAGAATTTGTTTGGCGGTACCGCGATTTATGTTCACGTTGGACACATTTCCGCATTATATGCGTTCCGCAGTCAGCAAGTTTTACTGTAATAATAATTTTTAGCATTTGTCTTTTCGAGATTTTATTAATATTCATATACAGAATTACTTTATCGCTTTATAATGGATGCAAAGGAACATTTAAAGTCGGCTATTAAAATATAGGAGAACATACGAACAACACTTTCTAACAGTAGCACCAAAACTTCTTAATAGTACATTATAAAACGATGTAATGATGGGTATTAATACACAAGTGTGATATTATGATACGAGCGAGTCTCAAATTTCTCACCCATTGCACCGAGTTTCATACGGTATTTTTTCTACGACTTATGGTAACTTTTATATTGAATCGCGTAGCAGTTGCCATGCAGGATTCAGCACAGGCCACCCAGCGGACAGCTCCCTAACACTACCCTACCCTATCGCCAGCCTGCCGCAGGTGACCTTGGTTCCTAGACCACTTGCATGGGAATACTGCTCTATTCAAGTACGATTAAAGTGAAATTACGAACCAACTTATTTTAAATAATATTCTTCGTTAAATTTACTAATAGTAAAAGAAATCTATTGACAAGATAATATAATAGTAAATGCAATTTTAAATCGGACGAAAAATTTACTAGAACGATTCCCAATGATTAATTATGGTCAATACTTAGTTTGTAAACGTGTCTGTGATTGATCAAGAATCTGTATCATCATGAAATCTGTACTGCAATGAGTATCATTGGGCAACTGGTTGCATCCATTAAATGACAGAATTATACAATGGGAGTACAAAAATTATATTTATTTTCATAAACGAGTGTGTTCAGAATGCAATTCATGTCTTTGACCTCCAAAAGTTCTTCCTTAACCTGTTGTGCTGCACTGTCATGGTCAATTTTTTTTTTTTTACCTTTCTCGCTCTTACTTCGTAAGAAGAGAAAGTATCGCAATCATGCACCGGAAAACGGCGAATTTTCGACACAAAAACTCTTATTGCCGGGCACTGGTAACGAAAAGGTGGGTAAATCCAGTTACTAAATACATGCAAAATGTGGATGTGGTGTAGGCAGAATCCATGTTTTGTGCGTCCTTGATACCGAAAAATCGATTGACGGCAAAACGTGCCTGTCGGACGGTCTGTGCACAACGCTAGCACAAACTGTTTAGTCGATTTTCTTCTAAATTAGTATTTCCCAATTGTAGTTGGTGTCGTGGACCCTATAATTTGAAAACGGTATTTCAATTTTGGAGATATTTTACATGAAGCCCCTCGGACATTAAAAAAAGGGCTCCAATTTTTTTTATTAGACTTTGTCCTCGGATATGGGATGCTGAAGAGAATAGCGCAGGTCTCATTTCCGTTGAAATTCCTGATTTTTAGAAAATTCCAAAAATTCATTTTTTTTTCCGGCTTCTTTCTACAACTGTAATATTGAAGATATGAGATTTGTTCTTAAATGAAATGTGATCCTTAAGACAGAACTTGAAATAAGGTCACTTTTAAGTTTTCGTGAAATTTTGCGCAAAAAATACGCAATTAACAAAAATTTTCTCACAAACACTAAATTTTTTCTTTAGATTTTCTCCAAATATATAATATGGGACAGTAAAAAAATTGGTGCCAGCGTTTAAAAAATTTGCAAGGTGTCTTGGACATTTGCATTTATTCTTAAAGATTTCATTTTACTACTATTGATTAGCAGCCCCAATTTTTTTGCTTCCTCATATATATCATTACGCTTTGACTACATATTCATAAAATTCTGAGAGAAAAAACATAATTAGTTCACATACTTTACATCTTCCAGAGTTCCTGTCAAATCCTAACCTTCCAACTATGGGTCATGAGAAAAATCCTCGGAGAACAGATATTGATCAAAAGAATAAATGAATTAATTAATTTAACTTCAATTATAATTTACTATTGAAAATACCAATACGAATTCTATTTTTACTCTATTGTATAATTTGTATTCTTAATGTACTGATATATTTTCTTTCAAGCAATCGTAAAACTCTATTGAAATTTGCACAACAATGCAGTGATGCATATTTGTGAAGTTCATTGTTGAACGGCAACATGGTGACGACGATACGATCAAGTGGTTTTATTTACAGTTAAGCTTGTGTTATAAGTTCTCAAATTGGCCTTTTAGAAATGATTTGAAACCTACTTGATAATCCATATTTTTTGTCTGTGTTTCAAGGTACAAACATACATATTTTCAGTGAACGAAAGGTCTCTTATCAATGCATATTTCAGTATTTCACTAGCAATACCTTATATATTTTAGTCTTTCAAAATTTCAATGATTATTAAGTAATACAGTAGAAAGTTGATTATCCGTTTTTTAAATAAAAATTAAGTTTGTTTTTTAAGTAAACAATTTGTTAGTTTAGTAGTGAATTTCTAAAACTTCTGGATTTATTTTATATTTTTATGTAATAAACACGTTTCTGTTTCTAGGATATAAAAGTTAACGGGATCATTTTACTATTTTTAATTTTTACTAAATTAGATGAGTTTGGCCACAAAGTTTTTTTTACATTGGTTTATACAAATTTTTGAAATAAAACCACTTAATCACATTATTCTGAACTTCAAAGTTTTATTGTCCTACGCATTGTTTGAGGCAGTGTCCATTTTAAATAGAGTGGTAATAAATCAAATAAATATTACAAATCATAGAACATCAGTTTAATTAGTTTTATTAGTATAAAGTTAGTTATTTATCAATTGTGTATGATGTGCAATGACTAACCCATAAACAAGTTCATATCTGAATACTGATGGAAATAATTATTTTGCCAAACATTTATGCCAAATAGATGTACACATTGCACATCTATTCATACACTACTTTTTGTGATACCACTGTCGCCTACAATGTCACTGAATTCATTTTTATTAGTTTAAATGTTCAGAAAATTGTTATTGTCACTTGACCATTATGGTAAAACTTTGATTCTGTCAGAATTAAAGAAGCACTTACCTCTAGAATTTTCCTTGCTTGTCGGACACGGCCACATTCAACAAATGCAAACACCAAGTCATACAAACTATTTACTTCTCCGTGAACTTTTGTACTTAGATCTGTAATTTTTTGCAATGACGCAGCATCTTCTGCTTCAATGAGTTTACATGTAAGTTCATTCTTCATTGGTGTACAACGATACATATTACATAACTTTTCAAACTCCTTCATTGCACTATCTAAATCATTTCTGAAGAATAAAAAATTGAGAAAATGTTAAGTCAAATCAACATGTTCTGCAAGCAATTCACATTTTTTGTTGTTAATCTCCACAATCCATGCAAAATGCTTACAATTTAATTATAATGCATCTGGTAAAGTAGCTAAGCACTTACTACTTGGACATGCTTAAAAACAATGAAAAAATGATCGATTTGGTAAATATTGTACGTATGAATTATGTCCCAGTTTGTTAACTGTTCTTTATAAATACTAACAGGGTTTATGTGGCACTCACCTGACAATATGCACTTTAATTAGAGGACCAAGCATTACATTGTTTATATCTATGTAACTATTCTGCAATAGAGTATCAAATGCTTTCCGTAAATTGTCTACGTCAGCCTGATCAGCCAAGTAATTCAACAAGGTTCGACAGGCAGAACTAAGTGCATAGTTCTTTTCTTCTGTGGTTGCAGTTCTCTTCTGAGCCTGGTCACGTAGAAGAGCCAGTGCACCTGCAATCAACGTCTTTTATTGCCTTGTTATATTTAGTATGTTCTAAAAAAACGGCATTATAGATGAAATTATTTGATGCATTAAAAAAAACAAACAAAAGTACCATCTAAATCATTATTTTTAACCAAGAGAGTAGCTAACTTCACAATCTTGGATCTATTAACAATATAACCATTTGTCTGATTTTCCAACCATTTTAGAACTTTCAATGCAGTTTCTAAATTCTCATTAGAGACATTCAAATCTATGAGCTGGGCAGTAAGCCCAGGACCAATCCCAACGTCTTCATTTACCAATTCCTGTAACAAACAAAATTCTAGGGAAAATAAATCTAGTAGGTAGCTACAAGTCCAGTTACAAAATTAAAATGTAATGCTAACATACCATAAACTACAACATTTTCATCCATAGTTCTTTTCATTACAAAAGGCACGAATTATCAATGTAAACAATTAAGGATTAGATGTCATTTCTTTCTTCAAAGAAAATGTTAGAAATTGTCTGGTTGCAGGAACAAATCTGGTAGATTTTGATTTTTATTAAAAATATTTCAGAAAGCAAGATTGTAAATCATAATTAATTTAAAGTATAGCTTTGAAAAAATTTAGATTGTTTTATCATCATCTGCTCAATTAAAAAAAGATTAATAATAATGTGGCCATTCCATTAATTTTATTTATATTATATTGTTGTTGCAATTGTTAGTTATTATTATTATTATTATTATTATTATTATTATTATTATTATAATAATTATTATTATTAAAAAAAGAAAGAAAGAATATTCAATTTTTCCTGTGACACATTTTTATCCATAAAATCTAATGCAACAGGCAACAAGATGTTTCTTTGCATTCTGTGCTGAAGTTTCCTTTCAGAACAGTTAAGGAACAAACAGAAAAGATTTAATGATTTATTTGGTTGTTACATTAAACCATTAGATACTTCTTATTTTTTTTTTTTTTTTTTTAAATATAAGAAAAACTTACAAATCCTGCCCTATACATTGAGAAAAATGGTTACATTTCTGTAAATGAAGTTCAAAATTACTTAAATTTGTTACTTATATTTAATAGAATAGCAAAAAGATAAGTAACTTCAAAAAAGATAACAATATCAACAATTATTCAAAGAGACATTTTGCAATTTTCATTTTTCATTAAAATGTTTAACCTCTGTATTTGAAATTGGCAATTATTTTTCTTTTCTTAAAAAACATCGCTACATGACTAATGTAGTTGCCCCCAAAGCATTTTTTCCCCCGAGAAACACTCTGAAAAACACGTTTTGTTTGAAAGATAAGTATACTGGATTTCCCCTCCCTTTGCATTTGATTACTTTGGCATTTTTAAGTCATCTTGCATGTAATGAAATTGTCGTTTGTATAAGGTTTATTCATCCTTAATCAACTTGAAAATTGTAGTACTTCCTGCACACTTACTAAATAACTTAATATTTGTAAGGAATTTTTACATCAAAGACAATTTTTATGGATTTTCTGAATACAAGGACTATCTAAAAAAATGGGGTCTATTGAAAAAGTAATTAATATATTAATTACAGTAGTAATAGTCACTAAACAACACCTAATCCTGTACTATGACATTAGTTTTTTGATCTCTGGTTACTCAAAGAGATCACTGAACATCTATGATATGAATTTAGTTTAGAACCGTAAGAAAAAAATTAATCTGAATTTCAAATTAGATATAATTTTGCTCATGTGCATTTTAAATAATACAAATTATAAGTGGATCTAAAATTACAAGTGTGATTCAAATACAGTAAAACTAAATCAATTTAGAATCTCTAGTAACCAGTTTTATTTTCCACATTGTACAATACGATGCTGTAGAATTTATGTTTTATGTTCACATTGGACAGAATTCTGGATTATATGTTCTGCTTTGAGCATGTTTTACTATATTTGCTAGATGACTTTGTACCAAAGTGAATAAGAAAAAACAAAAAGTGAAATCTTCACTTTATATAACTCTTCTTGAAAGCAGCTATTTTTGACTTACTGAAACACCCCACATTATGGACAAAATTAAGACATTACTTACTACTCTCAACATAAAAATTCAAGAATTCACAGAAATAATGAAATAAAAAAGAGCTATCTAAATACCTGCCACACAGCATTAGCTTTTTCCAGATTTTGATTCTTGCAATGTAAATTAAGTAGCCGCTTCCTTGCAGTATGAGTTGGTTCACCTTTAGCCTTCAAATTGTTCACTAAATTTGTCAAGTGGTTCTCACTCTACAAAATGAAAACACAGTGAGCATTTTTAGAACACTTGAAATGCTATTACTTACTAACATAAGAACATGCCAATCACTTCTCTTAAATTCAATAGAGCCCTGCAAATCCGAAATTTTGGATAATTCGAACGAATTTCCAGATAGAGGAAAACAAATAAAATGCATATTTGAAGTGTAAAGAAAGGATTTTATAATAACTGTAGAATTGAACAGCTAATTATTGAAACACAAGTTGTCGAATTGAAATATTTATTGAACTAGTAACTACAGTGTGTATCACATATTTAGGTAGCAGTAATTATCACCTGAGGAACTTGCAAAATTGCTAATCTTCTTTTGCCATAAGTAACTGAATCTGCTTGATGATGCTATCACTATCCCACATTGCCATTTTCTCACATCGCATGCTACGTTGCATTTTGTCTGGTTATCCTATAGATGTATTTGTATATGTACAGAACACTTTTTTGGATAATCCAAACATCTCTGAACGCAAACACACCGCACCCCCAATTAATTGAGAATACTGAGGCTCTATTGTACATGAATGCAATGCAATGCCTATCTTCATTTCCAATGCTCTATTAAATAATTGTACAACTAAAATATCTTAGAAAGAGTCATTTTTATAGGTCATTTTTTAGCCCTTAGGGTTTCTAAACCATGGGGGAATGCTTACTGTGTATAGTTGCAATGGTTGTAATAGAACATTTGGTGCTATCAATTAATTTAGGCCTCTCGGTACCAAGGTAATTCCAACTTGCAATTTGGCAGGCAATTATTTGAGATGATGATGATGTTGATTTTTAAGAAAACATGCCTTTATAATTTAATTTTTTTTTTATAAAAATTCCTCATATGTACTAAATCAATATTGTCAAATTTAAAAAGAGTTAGAAAGCTTTACAAATTTACTGATGAATGAAATAAAAGTAATAATATTAGCATTTAAGAAGAGTGGTCTAAATTCAACTCTACCACTGCAAAATTGGTCATGAATGAAATTTCCTATGGACCACTGTTAAAGAAATTAAATGGATGGGGAATATTAAAATAAAATAAGAAAGTTATGCTAATATAATAGAAGCACAAAATGTACACTAAATGTGAACTCTCATTTTGAAGAGTTAAAAGAAAAGTTCCTTGAAAATTCACTTTTGTAAATCATCAAATGCCCAAAACTCATAACTAAGAGATTCATTTCTAGTTGCTTGTAGGCAATTTATATCAAAATATTATTTATCAAAATAAATATGCGAGTATGAGAGAGAGAAAAAAAAAACAACAACAACAACAGAAATTTCAGATATATTAATGAAATATTAATGAAAAATTAACTCTATTACATAAAATTCATTTTTCCATGAGAAAGTCGCACATTTGATGCCAAGTTGTTTGCTATGGCTGATGGATGTCACCATCAATGACTCTCTGCCTGTCCATCCACCCGCCAAACATATTTCCAACAGTTCACATAAGGGTTGCAAAAAACCAATGTTTTTCATAGTGTCAATTTAGAAAAAGCTACTGAAGTGTCTGAGAAGATCATGCTCTAGCAATTAGTAGAAAATTCATGACTAATAGCTACGATAACTTCACATAAGAAATATCATACCCCAAATACCATTCCTTGTGATGCTCTTTGTTCTTGTGAAACAACTACTCCACTTGTCAGCTTCTCTAACAAGTTTGATATTTCAGCCGTCATATTTGCATTTCCCAATTGTTCCACAAATCTTTCAGCAGTACTAGTGCTAATAACTAAGCCTTGGGAGCACATTGCCTGAAAAATACCAACAATGACAAATTGTAAGAATAGAAACTTATGTTCTAGACAAAAGAAAATATTTGAAATCAAAATAACGCATGAAGATTATGAAGATAAACCCAAGTATCAAGTGTTTCCAATACGTAATTCTAATACATACGTAATTCTAATCAATTTTCACATGGAGTTTTCACATAAAATTATCTTGTATCAGAGATCTCGAGAGACTTCAGTTTCAGAATAATTGGAAGGGTATTTCACTCGGAAGGAACTACATTGATGGCAATCAATTTCTTTTACGACTGCAATTACAATACTGATTGACAAAGTATGTTGAGATGTTTCTGCTCAAACCATTTTGCTGGTATTCATTACAGTAACACAGTTCCACTATATAAATGCTAATACAATGAGAGGAGCAAACAATTATCATAATTATTAACTCTCATTTTAAATATGTAAAAAACGTTCTTTGAAAATACATCAATTTGACATATACACCACCAAACACAAAACTATGATATTCATTTGTAGTTTCTTCTAGACGATTCACAGATTCACACATTTTGTCAGAGCAAACATTTATTATCATCTGAAAGTTAAATTCATGAAAAATAAACACATATTCGCAACAAAACATATCAAGAATCAACTGAAGCCATCAGAGAGGCCACAAAGGAAGAAAATTAAAATTTGATCTGTTACATTGAGATCTCAAAGGTCTGCTCTGGTTTGGAATGACAGTGAACCAGTACAGAAGGCTCTATCAGTAAGAAATACTTTCAACTATACACAAAGTCTCCTTAAAAATGTGGTGACATGGTGCTTTGAGTTTTAGGATCTGTTCTTGGGTGATGAACCCTTGATTCTGCTGGAGCTGCCTATGTGTTGACCCCTTTCAGACTGCTCTTCAAGAATGATGTTGAAAATGTTTTCCCACCTACTTCTACACACTTCTGGACAAAGCATACTATTTTGACTCATTTTTTAAATAGGTATGAGGCGTTTTGTTAAAGTGTTTATTTTTCCATAAAGCTTTTTCAATTGCATTGCAGACATCTTCAGTGCTACAAAAATAACAAAATATGTAAATCACAATTAAAATGTATATTATAGAATATTCTTTAGAAGCCTAATATATAAAAAAAAGGGACAGACTAAAACCAGAGTTATAGAGGAATCAGTTTGTTGAACACAGGATATAAGATCTTCTCCAATATTTTGTATGAACACCTGAAACAGTTCACTGAAACACTTATCAGAAATTACCAATGTGGGTTTAGCAAGGGTATTTATCAACTTCGCTATTTTCTATTCGTGCTGATGCCTAAATGTCAACAAAATGCAGCTCCATCTTGTCCTAAATAGATTGCATCAATGGAGCAACTGGCTTTAACTTTACCTTGTCAAAAGAGTGCTGCATGCTCTTCAGAATTTACTAACTCCATAACAACACAAAGCTCTCTCTTGAGGGAGTCACCAGCTTCCCTTTGTTAATGTTCTGGGGCACATTTTTAACACATCCATATGTTGCAAAATAAACCAAACATTTCCCAAAATACAAATATACGAGTGGGGGGAAGCTTGCGATGGCTGTGTGGCTTATTGGGTGGTATGAATAAATATATCAAGAATATTCTTGAACTCAAAAAATACTCACTTTAAAGGGACTCACTAGAGCTCATGTCCACATCTACATGAATACAAACGTAAATTTACTCATTTCATGAGCTCATCCTTAAATTATTTTGAGTCTGGTGTTGGAGGTAACTCACTTTTCAGAGCGAGGTTATCGTATCTTACTTGTAACTAGGAAATCTGTTTTGAGCATGATTGAATAAGAGCTAAAAGATATACTCTGAGTCGCAATACAGTGGGATATTGTACGTGCACGTTTTCTCTAGCCCTGGAACAGCTTCTCCCACTCCTTTTTTAATATTAGTTGATTTAAAAATAAATGAAAGCAACGAGTATTGTTGACCAAATCTGATATCAAGAAATGTTCGCTTTCATGTAATAGAAATTATTTTGCATTGAAAAACGAGCGACAGATTTGGTAGAATGGTTTTGTTGACGAAATAACCTACCTCCCTACTCCTCTTGCATCTAGCTACACGAGGGCTCAAGAAACCGTGCGAGGATAATACAACTTTTATTATAATTAGCTTTTTAGTTTATTATAATTAACTTTTTGGAATTTCAGAAACTACAGAGAGTTCACGAGAAATGCTCTCGTGGCTCAGTGGGGAAGTCACTTGCCTTTCACTCCTGTTGCAACCACTAGATGGACTGTTATTTCTCCTTTACCAAAGTTACTGGTATCAGAAGCAAGACAAAGAAAACCATTCAATATGGGAACCTCTCTTCAGCTATCAGACCTGTTCCTCACAGTGACGATCGTCCAATCCCAGTGCCACCGGACAATTGAAGTTTACATTCCGAAAAAACGAGATGAAGATTTGAACATGAGTTCCGAAAAGAAATGGAAATGAAAAAACAGTGAATCTTCTTACCTAATCTTCTAAATCATTTTGTGACTTACCACTTAACCCAACATCTGATTTTCTGCTTTACAAAATTTACATTACTCCTGGACAAAAAAAGTAACTTCGCAACCACTTTTAAATCCTGCACACGTATGGCTACCTCTTGCACATCAAACTCAGATATATACAAAAATGTAAAGGTAATGGGTAAAAGTCTGCCAAATTTCCTGCACTTAAAGAACAAGTTCTTGCCAGACACTGAAAAGGGATGCTTCTCAAGCGAGAAATACAGTAATCGTTACAAACTACACTGTTATTGAGATTATGTGTAACGAAAATAAAACCACACACTTTACAACAGTACGATTTTTTAAAGTGTTCATTACAAAGAAAGTTTGCCCTTTGCAAATAAATGCTCTGCAAAATTGAAATCGGAGCATGTTCCTCTAGAAATAGGCATTTTGTTCCATTTAATGGACAAAAAGTTAAATTTTGTCGACCAGTGTAAAATGAAATAAAATTATTGATAGTCACACAAAACTTTAAACCTGGCTGTATACAGGGTAAGTAATATGCAGAAAAAACAATACAGTTCTTTTCTTTCAAATTAAAAATCTACTTTTCCCCAGAAAGAAAAATAGATTTGAGAACGAGGACTCGTCATTACCGAGCGCCTCGTGTAGAGAGCTGTCCAAACAATGCAGTTGTTGTCTACGCTGGCAATCAAATTTCGCAGCGAAGAAAGATGTGTTCCATGAAGAGGTCAATTTTACAAGTGTCGCAGATAACAGGTTCACTTCGGAAGGAAAAAAGTAGAGATGGAAAAAGCAATGACGCGTTAAATCACTTCCTCACGCTCAGCAACACGGAATTACGAACACCAAGGATTTGCAGAATCCTTATTGCACTCATTGTGCCGCTCTGTTGGTCATGGAGTATGGCTAAATACGGAGCATTTCAGAAATGCCGTCTAATCTGATGAGGGCTGCCCTACCGTGACCCCCCACTCAGCCTGGAATTCAGTCAAAGACCTAGTTCGGGCCGATTAATTGGGAGTGGGTTAGCTCCCAACTGCCCATCTACGAGAGACCAAGGCTAACAGCAGAACATCAAGGCACGCAGTACATACCTACATGCTGTCGTCAGAACTCGCCAAGTTCACACAACGAAGAGGCAGGAGTCTACCCCTAGGTTTCAGCGTGAAGATTACCGACAGCTTTTTTTTTTCTTCTTTGGATTTCCCCTTCCTTTATTAACATTGGCCATTGGTCACACTAAGTTTAAGCAGTATGAGTAGTGGCCAAGAGCAGGGTGTTACCTGCTCATCATCGATGATATGGCTGAACTTCTGGCACATAAAACAGTGCAGTGGGTCCGGCACATATAGGCGGAGCTGAAAGTTATAAAATCCACAAGACATTTGTTCCGGAATTGAGGGGCGGCCAATACTTAGGATCGAGGGGGAGGGGTGTTTTCCAATTATTCCTGTACGTGTTTAACACGCCTTGTGCTTCAATGGATTTTAACTACTCTTCATGTTTCAGCATGAAATCCTCGGGTTAACAATTCCCTAGGTTAGATGGAGGCTGGACAGACTGGAGGGCGGACAGACACCTTAATCTGAAGACAGGCAATCCGTGTAGTTTTCGATATATTCAGTCAGTATGGGCTTCGAAGAGAACAGTACCGTTTCTTTGTCGAACCACAACCTGAAGCTTTCCATAATATTCAATGGCTCGGTCAGTTGCATAGAGCTGACTATTTTAAACGGGTGATCTTGTTCAGAACTCTTCAAAACGAGAAAATGGCCTCGTAGGCTTATATGAGTCGGTTACAACAGAGACTTGATATCAGCTCTTTTCTCTCCTCTGCCTTCAAAATGTGTCTTTTGATCAGAGGGCGGGGGTGGTGTTTTTTAATCGTTAACGAGGATTGCATTATAACCACATAGTCATTACCAACCACGGAACCAGCAAGCAAACTCTCCACTGAAGTACCAGGGTTGCCACGGAAATGTAACAAGGAGTCCACGTTCCTGCCACACACTAGAGGGAGTACCAGGACACTCCCCTCTCACCTTGCAATTCACACATAGTCCTCGCACAAGGAGATTGATCGAAAGTGGGTTACTCCCCGACAACGTGTCTAGAAGAGGACAAGGTAGTGAATTTGGGCACTCTGAAAGTACCTACCCACAGTCACCAGGACTCTCCGGGGCATGCACTAAGATCAGACAAGTCTACCTCAAGGTTTCAGGATCAAGGTGACATGCCTTTTAACCACACACAGACCACCTCAACAAGGTTTATAAAATGCTGTTCCTCCTGCTCTTTGAATATATTTCGCGAATGTTCATTCCCGCCGGAGACATGGCATAATATTCTGGGGGAACACGTCCTATAGCTTCCAGACTTTTAGATTACACAAAAGATACAAATAATATCAAATCCCACTCATGTGATTTATGCGTGCCTCCCTTCATTCAGCTAGGAACTCTACCACTGCTTTGCCTCTTGATTTACGAATCAGTGGTTTTTGTAAAAAGTAACTTACTCAAGGGTGGGAATATATTTTCAGTGAAAACAATGTCAATAATACTCCTTGTAACAATCATATATACCAGGTGTTAGCATCCACAGCTTAGTACAAAAAATGTATCTACAATACATGTGCATTTTTTTACAGCACATTGACAGACGACATTTAATAATTAAAATCAATACAAGTTTAAGTAAGTAAAGTCATTTCTTCTGCATAGCTGTTTCTATACAATTAGAGGATATGCTGAGCACAAATGACTGACATCACAAAGGAAAGTATTATTGATTTTAGCAATGATATTCAACCATAGTTACCACTTGGATGGTATAATTTTAGAAGACTGAAGAAGCCTGTAACAAGTATTGTACCTCAGCTTCTGAGTCAATGAACCCATCTCGATCAGGTTTTTTGTCCAGTTTCCCTGATCCTTTCAGTGAACCTAAGATAGCTCCTGGACATTCATGTAACTTAACTCTGTGCATGTTTTCTAAAGTTTAGTAGGATATACAGATATAGTTATTCAAATCATTGTTCTCCAAGTTCTCATGTCAGTAAGTCATGATGAGGGATAATGGACAAAATCTGTAGTTAATTTCCCTGTACAAATAGTTTTTATAAGCAAATATTTTGTTATCTATTGCCAAAAACACTTGCTTCCATTTGTATTCATATTTCAACTTGTAGGGTAGGGATCACAGAATTTCAGAAAATGCGCACAGAATGAATTTCTCCCCACAGTAAATCACAGTTTTTAATAGTTTTGATAAATAAATAAATAAAAAATCCTCCTGTTCCATGGTGAATATGCCTTTTTTTTTTTGCCAAATAGAGTAGAAAAAGGTGCTGTCTTAGGGCAAACTAGGCAAATGGGTTGCCATAGCAATGGGATGATCCAGAGTTGACCGGTGTTTTCTGAACCCATATTGGATTGGTGCAAGTAGATTTTTGCACTCTAAGGTCCAGACCAAAATCTGATTTACCGTGTGTACTAGAACTTTACAAACACAGCTGGTAAGAGATAATCAATCTTCAAAACCTATCTATAAACTACCTAATGGTGATTCCATGGGGAGGATAGATAAGGGAAGTGGTTTCAGTGCGAATCTCACACGCTGGGGTCACTATATACTCAGCGTCTTTGGGAGACTTCCTCTTATCCTCATAAAAAAAGACAGAGCTATCTAAGGAACAAACATATTTGCATTGTCTTGTAGTCACTAACAGCCATGATGTCCTCTTACTAAGAAAATCTTCAGGATGCATAATAAGGTCCTGCTTCAAAAACTGAAATATAAAGCAACAGTCAAAATATTGTTAAAAAAACGAGCAAAAACTACACTGTTTCTTTGAGATCACGAACTCTTGTAATGTAATATGTGAGTTTTTCTAATATTTGTGCTAGTCCAGCACTCTTAGTGCTTGTTTCGAACAGTGTAGTAATAGTATATTCTTCAACGAGTGCATAATGATAGCTATTATTCAGGAGTTGATGTTTATGACATGAGCGAAGTATGAGCTAGCTAATTTCTGTGAGTGAATAATAGCTATTATGTGCGAGTGAAAGTTTATTCTTTCTCTACAACCTTGAAATTTTCAGAATGGACTTTGAACAGTTTTTGTTGTTGTCATTTATGTCAGCAAACACGTACTTGACTCTTTAGCAACCAACCATCTATTTTAAGAGCGTGTCCACAGCAACGACCGTTAAAATGCTTGAGTCCATTAAAATATTTTAGCAGTCTCTTGAGTTTGGGTTTAACCACGGGTTGTCTCTTGGGTTCATAAATCTTTGGATAAATATACCCCTTTGGCCCACTTGGCCCTTATCCTTTTGAACCCATTTAGTTCATTTGCTCACCATGTCCCATTTGTCCCATTTTGTCCATCTGTTCAATTTTGTCCTCTAGTGCCATTTTTCTAATTGTCTAATTGTCCCATTTTTTTTCTAATTTATTCTATTTTGTCGCCCTTTTCCCATTTTGTACCTTTTCTCCACTTTTCCAATATTGACCCATTTTGTGTCCATTGACCCCTTTAGTCTTTCTGTGCAGTGCGATTGTTATTTAAAAACGGTATTGCAAATTGCAAGTGAATGCAATTCTGCCTATGGACTCCAAAAAGTCTAGAAATGTGATTGGTCCACAGACCATGGAATTGGAATACACCCTGTGGACCAGACAAACTGGAATCCACAGGGTGTATAATTGATGTCATTTGCTGATTAAATATATCAACACATTCAACTACAATTATGAAATTAATAAATACCATCTATATATTAATAAATACTATATATCATCTACACCATTTATCTATCATATCCATCTATCTCTATTATCACCATGTCCTCCTATTAGGGCCTGTGATACAAGAGAAAGTTAATGAAATTGATATTGTGGCTGCAATCATAACAAGAAACTGACATACCACTAACCTCTAGTAACTTCTTCACTTCAGACACGTTGACATTCCTAACACCGGACACAGTGTCGAGCAGTAGCTGTCCAACAAGTTCAAATCGATCAAGAACTGGGAAAGCTTCATCAACGAAGTTTGAATTTACATTCCTCATTCCTATTTTTTCAGTGGCAATGTACATTGCATGCATCATTCCAGCAAAAGATACAGCGTCTCCTGTATGTCGGTAGGCTTGAAGCAATGGTTTTTTCAGCGAGTTGGGCATGTAATTTACATTATATTTCTTAACTGTGGGGAATAAAACACCAGTCAGTACACTGCAACTTCGGACTCACAAACACAAAGAACGTAGTTCTACATACCAACTTTAACTGCATCTTTTATGTTATTTTCTGACAGAAGATAATGCAAAAGAGATACAACAGAAGATTCTAAAGGTATACCAGCAGACTTTAACTTGGAAATGACATCATTAGAATTCTTTAAATAAAGTTTATAAAGCCATGGTACAGCATATTCTCTGAGGGTTTCTTCTTGCACAACGACACTGAATTTTTCTGACATGCTCCTCAAAACATCCAATATTCCTGAAAATGCAAAAACATCTCGATGAAAAGTATCGTATTATCAAGAAGAGAATGAAGACACATGCACACACACCCTCTCTGACTTCTCATGCAGTCTGAACAAGAATCAGGTCTGTATGAACATGTGTATCTTAATTCTTTAAATCTTTTCACAATCCTTTTTTCTATTAAAATTTCCAACACCTGGCTCCTACCGCACACAATACACTAAAATGCCATGAGTTGTACTTGATTCCTAAATGATATGAAGTTACTAAAATGTGATCCAATTTAATTACTACTGATAATAGTTCATAAAGAGGGCATCCAAATGTATTAAATAATATGTAAATGATTAAGTAATAACAGGAATATATTTTTACTCTTAAATTGAAATGGGCATATGACTGAAAAATATCTCATTTTTTAAAACTTTTATTTTTTAATTTTGGAAATAAAAAAGTATTTGAACCTTAAGATTACCACGTTTTAATTTTAACCATTTCACCTGTTCTTAAGGCTCAGCAAACAGTTTGACTTGCAACTCATGCCTCTAACACTATAGCCTCTACACTAACTAACATTTATAGTGTTTTATAATAGTCTGCTAACAAATGGAGACACACCGTTTTATTTGACAAGGTGATAGAGCTATACCTTCAAAGTCAAAAAAAGGAGAAAGCTTGAAGAAAAGAACAGAAAGGTGGCAGAAACGGCAGAAAATTGCAGAAAAAGAGAAGAGGAAGAAGTATGAGGAAAGAACTTCCCGAGCAGAAGAATTCTGAAGTGCACTTGTTCTCTGAAATCTTTAAATGCTATTTTTTCCAGTGATTTTACAGCATCATCTTATCCACAAAATGCTCCTTTCAGAACAATTTTTTGTTTGATTGCAGTGAAATTTTCAGTAATTATTGCAATATATTTAATATTATGAATGTAGTATGGGGTTCACAAAAAGATGGTATAAATAACAAACAATAATGATTGACAGAAGTCAGTATTAAAGATGAGATGAGTCTAAATTAGACAATTCAAATAAAGGAAAACATTCATCAGCTTTAATTTTATTTAGAAAGCCCTTTTTTGCTCTTTGTCCAGCCCTCCCCCCTGCTCCCTTTCCCACCACTTATCACTCCCCCCCATGGTTTATGTCAAGCCTCATTCCACTACCAGCATTCTCTTGTTGCACTTATTCATGTTCCTTTGTTTTTCTTGTATTATTTGTTTAATTTTCTTAAATAAAACTATTAATTGAATTCTCCACTTTTTATTTCTAAACCTCTTGAATTAATAATATTGATTATAAAAATTCTAAAACAATATCACAAATCATTTGGAATAAATTATCAATGTACATGATTCACAGTCTTTACCAAACTGTCAGTGAACAATTGGTCAACACTTAATACATTTCATTACTGACGATAGTAATCACAACTGTGTAAACTTCAATGGTTATGGTCTAATAGTAGGAAAATTTGACTTTTCTCTGTGAATGCAGATACAACAACAACAAGCAAAAGCAGAAAATGGGGGCTCAGAAAAAGAAGTTTTCAAGATATGGAGAGGGCGGAACCAAGATTTGAGAGATTTAGAGAAGACTCTAGATTTAAAGAAGCATTTCTGTCAATGAAGATACATGCTCAGCAGTGGAACATAACGGAAGAACTACTTGCTGACATTCAGGTAAATGTAGCATGTTCTTTGATAGAACTATCCACACGATGATCAATTAGAACCATCTAATATCCCAGAAAAAGATGGTCCAGTCATATCTTCTCAATCAAACATCTGTCAGCGATGTTTTGGTTATGTACGTACACAATAAGGACATGACGCAGAACATCCTTCGAAACGAGAGAGAAAGAGATTGTTAACTATCACAAAAGGCTTGTGCATTGTTGAGGAGAATACACAAAAATGCTAAAGCTAAGAGTGGAAGAGGGTGATAAGAGATAGCAAATTCTGTTTTAATGAGGTGGACAGAGATCAAGATATTACTGAAATAGATCACATTATGAATACAACCGGATATCTAAATATCTCAGATTATTTGGGGCCAGAAAAGAAAACTGGCAGCCAAATAGAGTAAACAACTCCTTACCCACACAGGTAAAAAGCATTATGAAATGGATAGCCAGAGTGAAATATTACTCTTAACCAAGGCATCTTCTATATCAATGTACATCTTTAAAGTTTAAGAAAAAATACTCCATGTTGAAAAATAAACAACCACATTCAAAATGATACAACAGCTAATGTGTTCGGCAAATGTTCGCTCCCTTTGATGTGTCCTAAAGACCGAAACGCGGTGGGTAGGCCAAGTACCGAATGGTCGGCACCCTGTGAATAGCGAGCAACACGTCCACATTACTTGGGATTCGGTGAGAGGTTGCACAGAATGCAATGCAGCGTGTGTGTGTGTGAGAGAGAGAGTGCGCGTGTGTGTGAGAGTGCGAGTGCGCGGGTGCGTGAGAGAGAGAGAGTGCGCGCGTGTGAGAGAGAGTGCGAGTGCTCGTCTGAGAGAGAGTGAGAGTGAGAGTGAGAGAGAGAGAGAGAGAGAGTGCGAGTGCTCGTCTGAGAGAGAGTGAGAGTGAGAGTGAGAGAGAGAGTGCGAGTGCTCGTCTGAGAGAGAGAGAGAGTGAGAGAGAGTGCGTGTGCGCGTGTGCTCGTCTGAGAGAGAGAGAGAGAGAGAGAGAGAGAGAGTGTGTGCGCGTGTGCTCGTCTGAGAGAGAGAGAGAGAGAGAGTGTGTGCGTGTGTGCTCGTGCGTCTCTACTGCTCTGAGCGTGTGCGTCTCTACTG